GCTTAGAGTATAGTGAGATGAAGCTAAGGAAATCCTTCTCCCTTGCCATATCCTCAGTTCTGCCAAACTGGTAAAGACAGCAAAGTAGATTATCCCACAATGTACAGATTAAAAAAAAAAACAAAAAAACTCCAGAAACCCATTGCCATCTAGTTGATTCTGACTCATAGCAACCCTACAGGACAGAGTAAAACTGCCTCACAGAGTTTCCAAGGAGCGCCTGGTGGATTCGAACCGCTGACCCTTTGGTTAGCAGCCATAGCGCTTAACTGCCATGCCACCAGCGTTTCCCATTGTACAGACAGTTGAATGCAAAACCGTTTCCTTTGTACAAATCAGCAGTGGTGAGCTTGGCCTGTTGACTTCCCTTTGTCTATCATTGGGACACAGAAATTGATAGAATGACCTAGGAGCGAACTCAAATTCATTCAGTCCAAGAGCTGTAAGGCTTTACAACAATTACATTCTTCTCTCAATCCCAGCCACACTCCATCTGTGTTAATAATAATTTGTCTTCTAATGTTTTTGTCTGCCTTATTTATTCAATGTTAAACAAAAAGAGGTTACAGCTGTTCAATTTATTAAACAACTGGTGCCATAAATTATAGTCCATCAAAACCACATTTTATTCCACTACTGCATACTTGTCTGTCAATTTGTCGTACTGTGGGGGCTTACGTGTTGCTGTGATGCTGGAAGCTATGCCAACGGTATTCCGATATCAGCAGGGTCACCCGTGGCAGACAGGTTTCAGCTGAGCTTCCAGACTAAGACAATTTAGGAAGAAGAATCTGGCAGTTTACTTCTGAAAAGCATTAGCCAGTGAAAACGTTATGAATAGCAGCGGAACATTGTCTGCTATAGCGCAGGAAGACGAGCCCCCCCCCCACGAGGAAGGCACCCAAAAGACGACTGGAGAAGAGCTTCTTCCTCAAAGTAGAGTCAACCTTAGTGACGTAGATGGAGTCAAGCTTTTGGGACCTTCATTTGCTGATATGTCATGATTTAAAATGAGAAGAAACAGCTGCAAACATCCATTAATAATCAGAACGTGGAATGTACGAAGTATGAATCTAGGAAAATTGGAAATCTTCAAAAATGAAATAGAATGCATAAACATTGATATCCTAGGCATTAGTGAGCTGAAATGGACTGTTCTTAGCCATTCTGAGTCTGACAACTGTATGGTCTACTATGCTGGGAATGACAAATTGAAGAGGAATGGTGTTGCATTCATTGTCAAAAAAACATTTCAAGATCTATCCTGAAGTACAACGCTGTCAGTGATAGGATAATATCCATAAGCCTACAAGGAAGACCAGTTAATACGTCTATTATTCAAATTTACGCACCAACCAGTAAGGCCAAAGATGAATAAATTGAAGACTTTTACCAACTTTTGCTGTCTGAAATTGATCAAACATGCAACCAGGATGCATTGATAATTACTGGTGATTGGAATGCGAAAGCTGGAAACAAAGAAGAAAAATTGGAAAATATGGCCTTGGTGATAGAAACGATGCTGGAGATAGCATGATAGAATTTTGCAAGACCAAAGACGTCTTCATTGCAAATACCTTTTTTCACAAACATAAATGGTGACTATACACATGGACCTCACCAGATGGAATACACAGGAATCAAATCGTCTACATCTGTGGAAAGAGACAATGGAAAAGCTCAATATTATCAGTCAGAACAAGGCCAGGGGTCAACTGAGGAAAAGATCATCAATTGCTCATATATAAGTTCAAGTTGAAACCGAAGAAAATTACAAGTCCACCAGAGCCAAAGTATGACCTTGAGTATATCCCACCTGAATTTAGAGACCATGTCAAGAATAGATTTGATAAGTTGAACGCTAATGACTGAAGACCAGATGTGGAACGACAACAAGGACATCATACATGAAGAAAGCAAGAGGTCATTAAAAAGAAAGGAAAGAAAAAAAAGACCAAAATGGATGTCAGAAGAGACTCTGAAACTTGCTTTTGAACATCGAGTAGCTAAAGCAAAAGGAAGAAATGATGAAGTGAAAGAACTGAACAGAAGATTTTAAAGGGTGGCTTGAGAAGACAAAGTAAAGTATTATAATGACATGTGCAAAGACCTGGAGATAGAAAACCAAAAAGGAAGAACGTGCTCGGTGTTTCTCAAACTGAAAGAACTGAAGAAAAAATTCAAGCCTTGAGTTGCAGTAGTGAAGGATTCTGTGGGAAAATATTAAATGACTCAGGAAGCATCAAAAGAAGATGGAAGGAATACACAGAGTCATTATAACAAAAAGAATTGGTCGACGTTCAATCATTTCAAGTGGTAGCATATGATCAGGAACCAATGGTTCTGAAGGAAGAAGTCCAAGCTATACTGAAGGCATTGGTGAAAAACAAGGCTCTTGGAATTGACAGAATACCAATTGAGATGTTTCAAAAAATGGATGCAGCGCTGGAAGTGCTCACTCATCTATGCCAAGAAATTTGGAAGACAGCTATCTTGCCAACCAACTTGAAGAGATCCATATTTATGCTTATTCCCATGAAAGGTGATCCAACCAAATGTGGAAATTATCAAACAATATCATTAATATCACAGGCAAGTAAAATTTTACTGAAGATCATTCAAAAGTGGCTGCAGCAGTTTCTTAACAGGGAATTGCCAGAAATTCAGGGCGGATTCAGAAGAGGATGTGGAACCAGGGATATCATTGCTCATGTCAGATGGATCCTGGCTGAAAGCAGAGACCACCAGAAAGATGTTTACCTGTGTTTTATTGACTATCCAAAGGCATTCAACTGTGTGGATCATAACAAATTATGGATAACATTGAGAAGAATAGGAACTCCAGAACACTTAATTGTGCTCATGAGGAACCTGTACATAGATCAAGAGGCAGTTGTTCAGACAGAACAAGGGGATACTGCATGGTTTAATGTCAGGAAAGACGTGTGTCAGGGTAACCTTTTCACCATACCTATTGTATCTGTATGCTGAGCAAATAACCGAGAAGATGGACTATATGAAGAAGAATGAGGCATCAGGATTGGAGGAAGTCTCATTAACAATCTGCTATATACAGATGACACAATGTTGCTTGCTGAAAGTGAAGAGGGCTTGAAGTACTTACTGACGAAGATTAAAGACTACACGCTTCAGTATGAATTACACTTCAACATAAAACAAAAATCCTCACAACTTTACCAATAAGTAAAATCATGATAAATGGAGAAAAGATTAAGTTGTCAAGGATTTCATTTTACTTGGATCCACAATCAACACTCATGGAAGCAGCAGTCAATAAATCAAAAGACTGATTGCACTGGGAAAATTTGCTGCAAAAGACCCCTTTAAAGTGTTGAAAAGCAAAGACATCACATTGAAGACTAAGGTTCGCTTGAACCAAGCCATGGTACTTTCAATAGCATCATATGCATGCAAAAGCTGGACAATGAATAAGGAAGACCAAAGAAGAATTGACACCTTTGAATTGTGATGTTGGCGAAAAATGTTGAATGGACTGTGAAAAGAACAAACAAATCTGTCTTGGAAGAAGTACAACCAGAATGCTCCTTAGAAGCAAGGTTGACGAGACTACGTCTTACATACCTTGGACATTTCATCAGGAGGGATAAGTCCCTGGAGAAGACCATCATGATTGGTAAAGTACAGGGTCAGCGAAAAAGAGGAAGACTGTCAAATGAGATGTATTGACATAGTGGCTGCAACAATGGGCTCAAGCATCCCAACAATTGTGAGCATGGCGCAGGACCAGGCAGTGTTTCATTCTGTGTCGCTATTCGGAACCAACTCAACGGCACCTAACAACAACAACAACACTGCATAGTGTGCACAATGCAGTAGCCATTTTAACTCATTATAGGTCTTCACTAGAGTAAAGGAACACAATAGTAATCCCTTATATGAAATTCCTCCAAGAAATTCAAAAAATTGTCACCAAGTCTACAAGTTAAGACCCAAACAATATAGTCAAGGATGAGCCCCTCAGGCCTTTCTTAAATATCTCTTGCCTTTTACTCATGGGGACCTCATGTGTGCAAAGTAGAACTGCTCTATAAGGTTTTCAAGACTGTGACCTTTTGGAAGCAGATTGCCAGGCCTTACATCTGAGACACCTCTGGGTGGGTTTGAACCGCCAATCTTCTGGTTGGTGCTTAAAAGAGACAACTAAAAACAACACCATTCAGCGAATTAGAAGAGTGAGAGGAAATTGCTAGAGGCAAACCCACTGACTGTGTGACAAATGACAGAAAACAATAGGGTGAGTGAGAGACAAACTATAAAAAGCAGATTCAATAGCCTAAAAAATATTTTAATGAAAAGGCAAACATGTCTAAACAATTATTAGAGCATTATTTAATAAATCATGTTTATAATGATGATTCGGTCTCATAAAAGACAGTTTAATTGCTTTTCATAGTGTATCTACAAGTCAGAAAAGTGCATACTGTATTTCAGAAATACTTCCATGTAAAATAGCTAAGACCTATGAGAAATAAAGTTTTCTTGCTTGAAAGGATATATACTTTAGCTTTCCAAAACGACTTATTTTCCAAGACATCGTAGAAATCAGATTATAGTGATAACTGGGGAACCTCAAATATCTTCACACCAAATTATGCCTCATAACTAAACAATATACAGTTACACACGAAGCATGCATTGGCAGGGTCAGAAAAAAAAAAACACCGAGTCACAATGCCTGAAAACATATATTACTAACATACATATATGTATATTCATATATGTATATATCTTCAAAATGTTTTCTGAACTTTATTCAGAAATGTAATTATTAATGTTTACATTTTTTGAGCTTATGAGGCAAACAGAAAACCAGTTACATAATTTTTTTAGATTCTCACCTAGTAATATTAGCTCAGTGAGTGTTGCTCTTTAGCAAAGCTTAAATAAATATAAGTTTAATTGGACTTGGAATAAAATTCCTTAGAGTTTAGTATGATCTGAATTTTAAGAATACAATATTAGACGTCTAGTTCTGACTAAGATGGAGTAAGCCCACTACAGTCCATTACTCTTGCTGATTACAGCTAAAATCTCTGGATGTAACTTAAAAAGCTACTATCTGAGGACTCTAAAAAGTAAACAAAAGGAGTAGATTGGAAAGGCGAGTCATAATTTGCAGAAGTGACCAGTATATGGGTGAGTTTCCCATTATTTTCCTGCTTTCTCTCAAGATTTCGCCCAAAATGGGTCCCAGTCATCATACTACCTCTACTCTGCAGTAGTGCAATGCTGGCTAAAATCTACAGTAGCAACCTGTGGTCCCAACAGTGTGGGCAGAAATCTCATTTTTCTGGCATTACCTCAAGGGTGGCTTCAGTTGCAGGGTTGCGCTGCAGTGGCTGTGGAGCAACCATATAGAACTCTAAAAGAAAATCCATTTCTCTGTCCAGAGGCCCAGTAAAAGTGACCCCTGAGGGCTGTTGAATGTGGGGGGAATTCTGAAGAGGAAAAAGCTGGAAAAAAAGAATCTTTTAATAGTGTATATGAGCCTTCACAAGTTTCAAGCTCACCTTTGAGCTTCTCCTGCGTGAGACAGGCACAAAGAAATATAGCAAAGGCTTTAAAAACTGAACTGACACTGGAACCACCACCTAAGTGGTACATGTGTGGGGACAGACTCAAAGGAGCATAGCACTTTTAAAACTGAACTGGCCTGCCCACAAAAGGCAAAACACAACTTGCAGCTTGAACCTGACACCACTGATTGCCTGCTAATCCTTCTGTCCAAATCAACGTTCTCCAGAGGATTTTAATAACATTAATATTCAAAAGATCCAAGATAGAATCTAAACTTACTCAACAACAGGTTCCAACCTCACTATGACCCAGATATTGGCCTTACAGGAAAGATGCTAAAATAGCTATTGTAACTATGTTCCACTGGATGAAAATAAACACCCTGGAAAAGAATACAATGGTAAAAGCTCTTAGCAGAGTAATAGAAACTACAAAATAGCAACAAATTAAAATTTTAGAACTCAAAAACTCAGTATCTGAAATATTTAAAAGTAATCATATGGACTCGATATAAGTGATGATGACAGTACAAAGAGTCAGTGAACTGCATGATAAATGGGTAGAAATCATTCATTCTGAGAAGCAGAGAAAAAATGCGCACGGGGCCTCGGAACTTGTGGGATAATATAAAAGTTTTAATATTCACGTCATTTAAGTCCCAGAGGGACAGGAGAAAGATTGGTACAGAAAAAAACAATTGAAGAAATAATTGTCAGAAACTTCCCAAATTTGGTGAAAGACAGAATTTTACAGATTTGAGAAGATCAAGGAGCCTGAAACAAGAAAAACTCAAAGGAAATCATGCCTAGACACATCATAATCGAGCTGCTGATAACCAAAGCTAAAAAAAAATGTTGAAAATATCTAGAGTAAACAAAAACATATACATAGGGAAACAAGGATTTGAATGACCACAGATTTCCCATGGGAAATCATGGAGACCAAAGACCATGAGGAAACATCTTTAAAGTGCTGAAAGAAAAAAGTCGTCAACCCAGAATCCTATAGTCAACAAAAATATATATCAAGAATAATGGTGAAATAAAGGCATTTCCAGATTAAGAAAAACTGAGAGAATTTTTTGCCAGCAGACCTGCTCTGAAATAAATGCTAAAGGAAGTTCTTCAGGCTGAAGGTAAACGATACTGGAGGGAAATTTGAAACTTCAGGAATGAAGGAAGTGCAACATAAATGGTAAATATGTGGATGTATATGAAATAATATTTTTCTCCTCTTGAGTTCCTTAAAATATTTACAACAATTGAAAGCAAAAAGTTACAACATTGTCTGGTGGGATTTTTAATGTATGTAGATGTGCTACATATGAAAACTATTACATAAAAGGGAGAGAGTAAAGGGACTTACATGGTTGTAAGGCTTCTATTTTTTAATTGAAGTCCCAAAATATTTATTTAATGTAGAAAAGGAAATGTTGTTTATGTATAAATTAATTCCTAAAGCAACCACTTAAAAAATGCAAAGAGATGTAGCCAGGAGAGACCATATTCTGGGCCATAAAACCAACTTTAACAAGTTTAAAAGAATTGAAATCATACAAAGTATGTTCTCCAATAATAACAAAACTAAACTAGAAATCAATAACATAAATGTATCTTCAAAAATCCCCAAATATTTGCATATTAAACAACAAAAAAGGAAAATTACAAAATATTTTTAACCGAATAAAAATTTAAATACAACATATGAAAATTTGTAGAATGCAGCCAAACTAGTACTTAGAAGGAAATTTATAGCATTAATTGCTCATATTTAAAAAAAAAAAAGGTCTCAAATCAGCAATCAAAGATTCCATCTTAAGAAACTGGTAAAAGAAGATCAAATTAAATTCAAAGAAAGAAGAATGAAGGGAATAGTAAAGATATGAGCAAAACTCATTGAAAGTGAGTACAAAAACAATAGACAAAAATCAATGAAACCAAAAGCTAGTTCTTTCAGAAGATCAATAAAAGTGATACACTTCTTAGCAAACTGACCAAGAAAAACAAAGGAAGACACAAATTATCAATATCAGGAATGAAAGAGGTACATTACCACAGACCCTACAGACATTAGAATAATAAGGTAATATTATGAGCAACTTTGCACTCTTAAATTCAACAACTTAAATGAAATGGACCAATTCCTTGAAAGACACGACTACCAAAATTTCTGCAAGAAGAAATAGATAATATTAATTTTAAAGAAACATAATTAGTAGTATATAACTTTCCAACAAAGAAACATCTAAGTCCAGATGGCTTCACTGGTGATTTCTAACAAAGATTTAAGGCAAACATAATAACAATTATAGGAAAACTCTTCCAGAAAATATAAGTGGAGGGAACACTTCCCAACTCTTCTATAAAGCCAGCATTACCCTAATACCAAAGCCAAAGACAGTACAAGAAAACTACAGTTCAATATTCTTCACAAATATAGACACAAAAATATTCAACAAAATATTTACAAATAAAATCCAGCTATATATAAAAAGAACAATACAACAATGTGGGTTTATTCCAGGAATTGAAGGCTAGTCCAACATTCGAAAATCAATGATTGTAATTCACCATATTAAAATATTAAAGGAGAAAAACTATACAATCATTTCAACAGATACAGGGAAAAACATTTGACAGAATTCAACATTCATTCATAATAATAATAAAAACTCTTAAGTTTAATAGAAAAAGGGAGCTTCTTTAACCTGGTAAAGGGCTACTATGTAAAGCCTACAGTTAACAAAATACTTTACGGTGAAAACCTAAATGCTCTCCCTTTAAGACTGAGAAAAAAGCAAGTATATCCACTCTTACGGCTCTTACTCAACATCGTGCTGTAGGTCCTAAACAGCGCAATAATGCAAGATAGAGTAATAAAAGGTATACATATTGGAAAAGAAGAAATAAACCTCTCTTTGTGGACAACCTAATTGTCCATGTAGAAAATCCCAAGCAAACAACAGAAAAGCTCCTAGCAAGCCTAGCAAGGTTGCAGAATAAAAGTCAATACACAGAAATCATATATATGTCTATATACTAGCAATGAACAGTTGGAAATCAAAATTTTATTTAAAAAATATCTTTTACCAATTCAACTTTCTATATGTGTACAACTTATTGACAACAGTTATATAAATTGGCTGTGCAACCCTATGTACCCTTAGTCAATATGATTTTTCCATCACCATAAACTGAAACTCAGTGCTCCATAAGCAATAACTCCCCTTAGCACCTCCCTCCTGCTCCTGGTAACCAGTAATAAACTTTCGTCTCTATACTTTTGCCTGTTCTTGTCTTTTTATATAAGTGAGGTCATACAATATTCATCCTTTTGTGACTGATCTATTGCACTCAGTGTAATATCTTCAAGCTCCATTCATGCTGTAGCACGTATCAAAACTATTTCTGTTTCTGGCTGAGTAGTTCTCCATGGTATGTGGGTACCAAATGTTGTTTATCCATTCATCCACTGATGGACATTTAGGTTGTTTCTACCTGTTGGCTATTGTGAATAAAGCTACAAGGAACATTGGTATACTTACGTCTTTTTGCATGGCTGCTTTCAAGTCCATTGGGTATATTCCTTGCAGTAGAATTGCTGAGTCTTGTGGTAGTTCTATTTTTAGTTAGTTGGTTTGTTTGTTTTGAAGAACCACCATACTGTTATCCACAACTGATGTACCCTTTTGCATCCCCAACAATAATGGACAAGAGTTTCAATTTCCCCACATCCTCACCTACATATGTTATTTTCCTTTCTTTTTTTTAAATTGTACTTCAGGTGAAGGCTTACAGAACAAATAGTTTCTCATGAAACAGTAGTACACATGTTGTTCTATGACATTGGTTAACAACCCCACAACATATCAACCCTCTAACGTTTCAACCTTTTTTTTTGGTGAAAATACACATAGCCACAGATACACCATTTCAAAAATTTCTACATGCACAGTTCAGTGACATTGACTA